CACTTTCCTGCTTTCATCGCAGTGGGACTGGGCACATTAGTGCTCAGTGCTCGTGTAGCTAGTGGCTTATTGTATTGGACAGTGCAGACAAGGCCTTGTGGAGCCTCATATATTCTCTCTCTAGGTCTGTGGAGATAAACCCGAAGTGGGAAGAGAATAAAGTGGAATATTTAGAAAGCACCAACACATGAGGGGGAGAGAGAGAGAACCTGTTCAAATACTACCTGTTAATTTTAAGAATTTAAAAGAAATGTTTGAAATACAGTCCTGAGTATATGTCTTGGTCTTTTGCATTTTGCTTTATGACCCCAGAATAACAGCCTTATCAGATGATGTGGATCTAGCCACCGTCAAATAGAATTACAAATTAGATAGATGGTCACACACGGGATTATGTCTTTCCCTTCAATGGTGGGTACAGAGATGAACTTGAAAGTGAAGTAGATCTTCGGCCAGTTTCCTGTTACTGCGCTTTAGAAAGCACATGTGGATTTCGCAGTGATTGCAACAGAGAGCCCCCTGCTGCTGCCATGGCCCAAGTGTCTCATTTTTTTTTTTTCTTCCAGTTTTTGCTATCGGGCATGTGCACTTGTTGGAGAGAGACGGAGAAAGAGAGTGAGGGAAAGAACTCACTCAGGGGGATGGCCACACCACAATCCCTTCTCCTCCATTCTTCTCTCAAGATTTAGGGCACGCATGCACATGCGCTTGGTGTGATTTTCAAGCCACCGGGTCTGGGACTTGGACAGCTCAGGTGGCCGTGTGGGATCCAGCCACCTTAACCTTCACACCATCTGCTGGCCTCCCAAATGTTCTCATTTTCTTACAAATGATGTTTTTGAGAGTCCTCAGAGAATTTCTAAGAAATTGCATTGAACTTAATTGACCTCTGTTTTTTTCCTTCTCTCACCGTGTTTCCTGCGGTGGTGTCCACTAGCCTGGTAGATGACCAGAGGGCCCCGCCTCATCTTACAGTTGCGGCCAAGGGAGGACTTTCTAGTTCTTGTCCTCCGCAGTCTTCCCACTTCCATACTTCGGAAAGGTAGGGGAGTTATTTTCCCCATAATACAAATTTTGATCTAACTCTTAAAAATCTATTAATCATTAACCAGATTTCTCCTGAACAAGTGCTAGAGATGGCATGTGGTGAACATTCTGTTCTAATCCTTCCAAAGTAATCTACTAACTAACCGAATTATTTGTGAATTAAACACATAGAGATGATTATTTTCCTTTCCTATTAAAAAATTGTAGATTACTCGATTTAAGAAAAATCTTAAATTTGACTTTCTGCAAATTATAGGTAAGCATGTAATTCTGCCTCATCCTTCGGTGTGCTTTGAGAAATAGAATAATGAAATACAGCTGGGAATGTCATCTTTTCTTATTTATGAAAGTCAGTGCCTTGCGAGCTTACTTTTTTTTTTATTTTTTAATACTCTTTGATCATGCAAGTCTAATATCCGATTGATAACGGGCACTTTGGCATCATCTTTCTCGTGACGTCTCGCTCAATGTCGGGGCGTCTTTTCCTCCGTGCACCGTCAGGCTGTCGACCAGTCGGAGCGTGTGCGGAAGTGTCAGCGCGCAGGCTCCTCTGGAGAGGGGCTGCCACGGCCCAGGTGGACAGCAGTTATTGCAATGGCACGTTTCCTGTGAGAGGGGGGTTCAGTTTATGACTCTCCAACCTTCGACTTGGTCCTGAACTTGGTATGAACATGAGTTTGCAAACCCCCAGGCCTCTGTGGAATCCCTGTGGCTTGAGCTTTTATGGAAGGACCAGGAGATTTGGGATCCTGGGTTTGAGAGGTGCTGTATGAGGGCCGTGTTCAGCATTTTCATTCTTTTTATTTTTTTTGCATTTTTATTTTTTGGAGAGGTTTTTGCTATAGGGCACATGCGCTTGCCAGAAAGATAGAGGGAGACAGGGAGACAGAAATCACCCCCCAGGGGGGATGGCCACACTGCAGTCCCTTCTCATCCATTCTCCTCTCGGGATCTTGGGCACATGCACCTGGCATGAGTTTAAGCCACCGGGTCCAGGACTCGAACTGTGGTCAGCTACATGGGAGTCCAGCGATGTAGCCTCTACGCCGACTGCTGGTCCCAGCATTTTTATTCTTCTAGAGCAGGAGCCAGCAAACCCCAGTGTGTGGGGCAGCTTGGGTCCCCCGTCTGCTTTCGTGCAGTGTGGCTGTCCTCAGCCACACTGCTCGCATACTGGCTGTGGTGCTTTCTCTATGAGGACACAGGAGCTGTGACAGAGATCATGTAACCCACAAAGCCCAGGGTATTTGCCGTTTGGCCCTTTGCAGAAAGAGTTTGCTGACCCCTGCTCTAGAGCAAGCTCAAACCGAAGAGCTCCATTTAATTTAGTGGCAGTGGATAAGCCACTTTATTATTCTAAAGAACTGATGAAATACAATTTGTATTTTATGTGGTAATATATAGTGGTGAGCGTTTGGGGCCAGGGCTCTGAGATGTGGGCTCAGCACCATCGAGGGCAGGTCAGTTTGCAGCTAGGTGCCTGGGACTTCCGTGAGCACTGGAGAGAGTGGGCTCAGGGCGCAGCCGCAGACACAGAGACTGGTCCCCTAGGCCACAGCGCTTCCTTCTCCCGGGACACTGACAGCGAACTGACGATCGTGGGCTTCAGTGCCAGAGTGCATCGCCCCTTTGGGAAAAAGGGAAATCATAGGAACAGAGGAGGTCAGAGAGCTTGCAAGGTGACAGGCGGTCTCGTACCCAGCTCTGAAGGGGCCTCGTATTCCTTCTCATGCCGCTCACCGAAGAGCAGACTGTGTGTGTGCACATGTGTGCGTGTGCAAGTGGGGGGTGTCCCACAGAATACACGTGCACGGCATGGCGTCCTAGGAGCCTCCTTCCATAGACAGGCCTAGCAGAGGGGAAGGACTGCCCCATAGCGATGCTGTGTAGGTGGATCGGTGGTCCGAGGATGCCAGGGCGCCAAGGAGGAAGGACCGTGCCCACGTACCGCTGAGTGTGAAATGAACGAGAGCCAGTGTTGGGCCTGTTTGCTTCAGATGGCTCAACTAAAGACAGTGAGGGTCCAGGTCACCCGCTCGTCAGATCAGGTCCTGGATTTCCCGAGCTGTCCTTGGACCGACAGGACAGTTGGGTTCAGTTGGAGTTGAAATCCGCCTCGAGCAGACAGATTGAGAACGAGCGTGTCAGTGCGAGGTTGCTCAAGAGAATACATGAGGAAGGAAGGACCGTGGTGGCTTGATTGCGTGCTTTATTCGAAAATGGCCGTCTTCCTCTAGAGGAAATGATGTAAGAAAATAAAGACAAGAAGTCACTCAGTGGGTATTCTCTAGAATGCTGTGAAAATCTTAGAGATAAGTTGATTGCTTTGGGCCAGTTACTTGCAAGAGATATAGAAAACATGGAGGTGAGAAAGCAAGTTACACCCACTGACCTGAGAGTTACAGACGCGGAAAGTTACGGAGGGCCCTCAGCAGAACGGCCTGTCCCTTGAAGTAGTCTTGGCGATGAAAACACCCTGCACATCTCGACGTGGAGGGTCCCGCCCCTTTATTGAGTTTATCTGCCGCATCCGGCCTTTGTGGTCAAGTTGGCTTGTGATACAATTTTCCTTGTTTTCAAAGTCAGCGTAGATTTATAAATGTTTTGTTTTAATTTTATTCCTTTTATTGCTGCAGGATGTATGTGGTTGCCTGAGAGAGAGGGAGAGGGAGAGGGAGAGGGAGAGAGAAAGCACCCCTTGGTGGGGTGTGGTCTCATGTCAATCCCTTCTCCGTTTCTCCACCCTGTCAGGATTGCGGGCACACGTGTACGCGTGCCCAGCATGTTCTCCAAGCTTCTGGGTCAGGATCCGAACTGCCGTTGGCCAGGTGGGATCTGGCTATCGTACCCACTAGGCTATAGGGCTGGCCTCATAAATATTTTAAACGTGGGATGTAATCGGTGCATGTCAGAGCTGGCCAGGACCCTTGTAGCCATCTGAGAACTGAGACCCTGATTTGGAAATAAGGGTGCAGGAGCAGTGAGCTTCGGGTGAGGTGGGGAAGGATGGTGCTTTTGAGGTAAGAACAAACTCTCTTTTCCCTTTCTCTTTTCACCTCTCTTTCTGTTCCCTTTCTAAGCTACTTCTTTTTCTCGCCTGTGCTTTGAATTTAGCAGGAGGTTGCTGTAGGTTATCCAAGTTGGACTGTGTTACGTGGCCCCCTGGTGGCCAAAGGAGGGATGGGCCATGAAGCCACACTTGGGGAAAGGCAGCCTGGGGGCATTTTCTAGGCTATTTGAACCAGGGGTCTGGGCCTAAAACAGAGAAGAGAGCTTCTTTTCCCACCGTAATCAGCGGTTTTTCTTTTCCCAAGTCCGTCAGGTTCCCGGCCTTCCACACCGAAAAGTGACTCCGAGCTGGTCAGTAAGTCGGTGGACAGGGCTGTGCAGAAGAGCAACCTGGAGATGCTCTGGCTTTGGGGAGAACTGCCTCAAGCCGCCAAGGTGAGTGTCTTCGCAGTGCGGCCAGACGCTGGAGATGCCAGCTTCGCCCGGATTTCAGAACGGGCAGAGCTGCGGGAGTGTGTCAGCGTTCAACTCCGATGCGGGAGGTGCCTTGCCACACTTCCAGCATTATGAGGAGGTCTTGCTGCATTACATGTTTCACGCAGACAGGAGTGCACTTAGGTTCTACGTTTTATATCGCAACAAAATGCAAATTAAACTTGAAGAACAGAATTTATGCGTGAGTCCTGGTGACCGTAAACAAAATGCCTCCCAGTTCTTTCTTCTGCATGGTTGGTGGTGTCCGGAGAGAGACTTGAACCTGGGCCCGTTGAAGGAAAGGCCGAGAGTTGGGAAATGAATCCACGTGGTTTCATGCCCCTCGCAGAGGGCGACGTCTGAGAGAGCCCTGGAGAGACGGAAAGGCTCACGGGGCAGAAATGAAGAATTGGGCCGAATAAACAAAATGAGAAAATTTAGGGCCTTAAGTAAAAAGAAAAGAAAGCAAATTTAGGGCCTTCATTTCTCAAGTAATATTTTTGGACTGTCATCGTTGCTGGGGCCTTGAATTTGGAGATCCCCAGAGACAGAGAGGCAGCCAGGTGCCAGGGTGAGAATGAGGGCCTGGGAGTCACACTGTCCTGGGTTTGAATCTGACTCCACCATACGCTAACGGTGACTGTGGGCAAATCAGCGAGCCTCCCGGAACCTCCGCGTCTTCATCTGTGAAGTGGGGGATGAGGAATACTGCCGAGTCGCTGGGGAGTTGACAGATACTGTGTGGGGAGTGTCTGCCGCACTGCAGCCCTCTGTACTTCCCCCCTGGGTGCATGGGTGGGTGTGCAGGTGGGCGCATAACCTGTTTCTAACAACTTGAAATTTACATCTTTTAAGAAATTGCATTTCTGTGGACCAGCAGTTAGCGTAATGGCTATGTTGCTGGACTCCCACGTAGTCGACTGTGGTTCGCGTCCCGGACCTGGTGGCTTAAAACTCACGCCGGGCGCGTGTGCGTGCGTGCCCAAAATCCCGAGAGGAGAATGGAGGAGAAGGGATTGCGGCGTGACCATCCCCCCTGGGGGGTGATTTCTTGCTTTCTGTCTCTCTGTCTGGCGAGTGCACGCACCCTATAACAAAAAAAACAAAACCTCTCCAAAAAAAAAAAAACCAAAGAAATTGCATTTCACAGTCCAGTGTGTCACAAGTATCTTGAATTGTATCATTATAGTATAAGAGTTTTTTTTTTAAATCTATTATTATTACTTTTTAAATTTTGCTATAGAGCAGAGAGAGAGAGAGAGAGAGAAGAGAGAGAGAGAGGGAGAGAGAGAGAGAGAGAGAATGCTGCCAGGTCTGGGACTCAAACTGTGGCTGGCCATATGAGAGTCCAGCTCCTTAACCACCATGCCACCTACTGGCCCCTAGTGCAAGGATTTTAAAATATATGTATTGTAGGTCTTTAGAAGATGCTGCAGCCCCTTGCATCCCCAGTGAACGTGATGAATGAGTGAGCGAGTGAGTAAATGAAGTTGAAAGCATTCTCGTTAAGAATCAAGAGGGACGGTTTTGCGGAGTGTCGCTCTGTTGGCCGGGGCTGTGTCTCCATACACGCTCTGCATTGTGTTTAGCTTTCGTGGCCCAGGCTCGTTTCTCTGCCCACAGCCGTCCTGCTGACCCAGCCACCTCCCTGCAAATTCATGTCCTTAGTTGCGGAGAAGCAGTGTGAAAGTGCGGACCCATCACCTCTCCTGCAGAAACAGTTCCAGCCTGGACACACTGTAGCATTACGAGGGCACTTCAGAAAGTTCATGGGACATGGAACTAAAATTCAGGTTTATTCTGATGCGAAAATTTGTGATATCTATACCTAGTTTTTTCATGATATCTATTTTTCATAAACTTTTTTTTTTTTGGAGGTTTTTGCGTTAGGGTGTGTGCACTTAGTGGAGAGATAGAGATGGCAAGAGGGAAAGTAAGAAGTCACCCTCTAGGGGGATTGCCGCAGGGCAGTCCCTTCTCCATTCTCTTCCTGGGATCGTGGGCAAGCATGCATATGTGCCTGGCATGATTTTCAAGCCTCCTGGTCCGGGACTTGAACCTCAGTTGGCTATGTAGGAGTCCAGTGACATAACCACCACGCCATCTGCTGGCTTGCCATGAACTTTTTAAAGACCCTTTGTATTTTTATTGTTGAGATCAGATTTAGGAGCGAATACCTCCTCCCTCCCTTCTACCCATAAATTTTGATTTCTCTTTGACTAAAACTGTTCACCAAACAGAAATCCCTCTAAGGAGCAGAATCAGAAATGCTGAGTTCCCACTCGTATGCACCACCTCCACCGAATTATACTCATGTCAAGAATACGCTTTATTGAGCTGTAGCACACACACACAGAAACACGTACTGTGGTCCCAGCTCGGTAGAGCTCACGACATGAGCGTCACGGGCACCAGACTGAGAAGCAGGACAGGACCAGCCTCCCCGAAGCAACCAACCGTTTGCAGTTCCTGCTCAGAGTGGCCCCTCTGCCTCCCACTAGGACACACTCGATCTCGACTTCCACCAGCACACAGGATCCCTCCGTGCTGCGGTGTGTCCTGGCTTCTGCATTCGTGTGGCTGTGAACATCCCTTCGCTTGTACTTCACGTTCGAATGGTGGACACTGGGCTGCTCCCGCCTGCCGGCCTCTAGGGATCTCCCTGCCTTCTGTTTGGGGGTTGATGTCTCATGAGAGTCTGATATTCTGGGTTTCTAGACCTCTTGGCAGGTAGGGAGGTCTCCAGATGATTCCTGAGGCTTACCTGTCTCTGCGTAGACTGTTCATCGACTACTTGTTTGTCTTTGGTTAACTCAGTTTTAGTTTTCTGTTGGCCTGGCTTTAACCATCTCTCTCTCTCTCTCTGTCTAGTCATCCTCTCCACACAAGATGAAAGATTCCAGCCCACTGAGCAGTAGAAAACTTTGCGGGAAAATCCACTTTCAGGCCATTCACAGTGAATCTTCAGACACTTTCAGTGACCAGTCGCCAACCTTGACTGGGGGGCCACTTGCAGACCAGAGCGAGGCTCAGGCAGAAATGCAGTTTGTGAGCGAAGACGACGTTGAGGCCTTAGGAGCGGCAGCCCCACCTCTGCCTATGGTCGAAGAGCTCAAGGCCCCCTCAGCCAGCGTAGCCCAGACGGCGAACAAGACAGATTCTCCTTCTCGGAAGAAAGGTATGAAGGCTGGGGTTCCTGGCTCTCTTTCCGGGCAGACCTCACACTCACTGTACAAATTACGGACCCTTCTCCCAGAAGTTTAAAGTAAACCCAAGTGAGAAGCCAGCCGCGGCACCCGTGGCGGTCAGCCTGTGCCTTTAGCTGACCGTCTGAGTGACCAGAATGAAGTCTAGAAAGCCAGACACACGGGGCGCCAGAGGTCGTGTTTGGAGTCAGCTCGCTCGCTTTATAGATCTGGCTGCAGGTGCCAGGGCAGGGAGCCCCTTCTGCACGCGATGAGGCCCTCTAGCCTGACTTCAGGAGCAGGTCATTGAGCTGGTGTGGGTCTCCCCACCTGCCCCACACAGCTCTCTCGGCCATTGCTCTGCTTTTTTAAATTAAAAGATATACGTGTTGTTATTTTTAGGTTTTTGCCATAGGAGGTGTGCACTTGCTAGAGACAGAGAGACAGTGAGCGGGGAAATGAGAAATCACCCTCCCTGACAGATGGCCACGCTATAACCCCTCCTTCTCTCTTCTCCCTTTGGGGCTTTGGGCATGCACACACACCTGGAGTAACTTTCAAGCCACCGAGTCTGGGACTCAAATTGCGTTCAGCCATGTGGGAGTCCAGCACCTTAGCCACCATGCTACCTGCTGGCTCCTATTGTTCTGCATTTAATTTCTGCAAACCATTAATCAGTTCTTCAGGTTATCATTATTTTATTTGATTATTATTATTACTTTTGCCCGGCTCTCCTACTAGAATTTATGTTCCATGGGGACCAGACTCTTTTCTGCCTGCTTTACCTGCTTATCCTCAGTGCCTAGAACAGTGGCTGGCACGTAGCAGGTGCCTCACGAATGCCGGCTTCGTGCCCGCCTGGGTGCACGGCACAGCGTGACAGCAGGCCTGTTGGCTAACCAGGCAGCTTAGAGCAGTTTTCGACATCTGCGTGAACCAAGTACACAATCCTGCGCTGGCGGTCTGAAATCAGGACGCATGACCGGCGATGCGGCTTAGGAAGGCGTGCCGCGGGGCCCTGATGGCAGGAGCCATGAAGGCTGCTACGTGGAGTAGCAGCAATGGTAGCAGTGCTGGTGGCGGCGTTAATACATCGATCTTAGCGCTTCCAAGACTTTAAAGGGAGGGACCGAGGCTCAGCAGGGTGCTGGAACTCGGTCAAGGCCATGCAGAGGGCCAGCGAGGGGCCGGCAGACCTGGCCATCTGACGGCCCCCGCCACGGCGGGGCTCTGCGCCCCCCGCCACGGCGGGGCTCTCGGGCCAGCTTTGCGGCAGGCCACCGTGCTGTGCTGGGATGCTGTTTCCAGAGCTGCGAGTCCCTGCGGTCGTTTCTAAGGACGGTTTTCTGACTCAATCCACTTGCTCTTTTAGATAAACGGAGTCGACACCTGGGTGCAGACGGCGTCTACCTGGATGACCTCACGGATATGGACCCCGAAGTGGCCGCCCTGTACTTTCCCAAGAAGTAAGCTTTCCTTCCATTCCTCTAGGGTGTCTGCAACGTGGGCACGGTCCGTGCGAGTCGTTTCCCCTCGTCGGAGTAGAAAGCAGAATAGTAAAGGCCACGCGAGGCATGTGCTTTGCTGTGAGAGCAGGCAGCCTGGACAGCCGGCTCTCCCACACGTGTGTGTGTGTGTGTGTGTGTGTGTGCGCGCGCGCCTCCATGTGTGTGTGTGCCTCCATGTGTATGTATGTCTCCACGTGTGTGTATGTCTCCACGTGTGTGTGTCTATGTGTGTGGGCCTCCATGTGTGTGTATGTCTCCACATGTGTGTGTCTCTGTGTGTGTCTCCATGTGTATCTGTCTGTGTGTGTGCCTCCATGTGTGTGTGTGTCTTCACGTGTGTGTGTCTGTGTGTATGTCTCCACATGTGTGTCTCCGTGTGTGTGTGTCTCCACGTGTGTGGGCACGTGGCTGGTCTCTACCTTCTGGACAGACATGGTGTGAGGCCGTGTCCTGTGATGATGCCAAAGCCTGTTGCAGGGGCCATGACCACGTAGGTGGCAGCTGAGCAACCCCCCAGGCTCTCCTTTGGTCCCTGGGCCCCCGTCCTCAGCTCCCCTGTGACCTTAAGGAGGGTTGGCACTTTGGAGGGGACCCGCAGAGACAGGCCTCCCGGGACAGCTTTCCTTCTCTGACTGTCCTGTGCGTTCGGGAAAGGCCGCAGGGACACGCAGCAGGGCGGAACGGCTGTCCCTCCCAAGGCATTCAGCGCCTTCGCTCTCAGGCTTAGCGAGAAGTCTGTCCTGGGACGATATCCCATGCCACTCTGAGGGTCACGTGACTCCATCCGTGGTGGCGGATGTACTCGTTGGGACCAAGAGGAGGAAAACCGTGACACCTTCCTCTTCCTCTCCCAGCGGAGACCCTTCTGGGCTCACAAAGCACACCAGCGACAATGGAGCCCGGTCAGCCAACCAGTCCCCGCAGTCCGTGGGCAGTTCGGGCATTGACAGCGGCGTGGAGAGCACCTCGGACGGCCTGAGGGACCTCCCATCCATTGCCATCTCTCTGTGCGGCGGCCTCAGTGACAACCGCGAGATCACCAAAGGTACCGCGGCCTCTGTGCTAGGAGCGCCCTCTTGTGGCTGCTGGTGAGGAGGCCCGGAAGCTGCTGCTGCTGGAGTCGGTCCGGCTTAAGCAGCCTTCCCTGGGTTGTGGCTCCTGACTGCACAGGGGACTTCTTGCTCTCGGCCCCCAGTTAGCTGGCCTCAGAGATCTGTGGGCCACGCTGGCTTCTGGCAACCACAGGGCGTCCGACCCTGCATTGCTGAGCACTGCTGGGGCTCCTGTGCCCTGCCAGCCCCACGGAGGCGCCAGTTAGGCCAGCAGCCTTAGTAACTGTCAGCGTCAGCGTGTGGGAAGCATGGGGACATTGCTGTGGGGCCTCAGAGGAGAGAGCGGGTTTGAGTGTGGCTGAGGAAGGCTGGGCACATTTCCCAGCTGGATTCAAAGGGGGCTTGCAGGGTGGGCCTAGTGGTTAGTGCATAGCTTCCGCCGTAGTCATGGCAATGGTTTCCCAGTGTCACAGGACAGTTATGTGGGGGGCACGCCCAAGACCCCTAGTGGGTGTGGTCTGCAGTTGTGGGCCGATGAATTCTGGGATGGACTTAGGCCCCCCTGCCCTCACTTCGTCATTTCCATCCTCCGTGGTCCACATTTCTGGCAGGGACCCCGGCCAAGGTCATGGACCTCTTCTCCCCGCCACTCGGGAGCCCTGTGTCTCTTCCTGTGTCCCATCCTGAGGTCCCTCCCAGGCTTCGTGCATCTCTTGTCACAGAGATGGGGGCTTGCACCGTGGCGCCTCGTCCACACGGCGGTGATGAGCTGAAGCAGCATGGCTCTCCGGCCCAGCTGGTCGCTCACATTGTCCGTAGACCGCAGCTTGAGCGCAGCCCTGTATGTCTCAGTCACGAAGGCCTGAGTGTGCTCTTGGGACCAGTCTTGGGTCCCATCAACCCCCTTCCCAGTGTATGTGCAGCTCGTGGGGCAGCACTGGCAGGACAGGCTGGCTCTCTGGTGCCACCGCACAGGGCTGGGGCTGCTCAGAGCTGTCCACGAGGAGGAGTCCGAGCCCAGTGCCTGGGGGTCTGACGTAGGGCCCCAAGGGTCCAGTCGAGGCCAATCAGGGTTGGCATCACGACCAAGGGGCATTTCTTTCTGGATGGGGTGACCCTGCCTGTGTTCAGTGTTTGCCGGCCGTAGTTCCCCCAGAAAGGATGCGATGGGTTAGGCCAGCGCCTTGTCACAGCAGAGCCCAGCTCAAGGCTCAAGGTTTGGCTCTGTGGCTGGGGATGTCAGGTGGAGGCCAAGGCCCTGGGCTGGATCGTGCAGAACCCAGGGTCCAGGCAGAGGCCCGGCCTTCTGACACTGCTGCCTCATTCGCCCCCTCGGCAGAGGCTGAGCGTGGTCAGCACATGGTGCTTCCTGCAGGTGGCAGTGCTCGGTGTCACAACCACTAACACAGCTGAGCCCTCTTCTGGGCCAGACACAGTGATCCCTACGACGTTCAGCCCCATGGCCTCCCAAGGAAGTCTGTGGGGCATTCCCATGGTACAGAGGCGGGTAATGACGCATGGAGACACAGGCCACTTGTCTGGTTCACACTCGTAAATGTGACACTACCCAAGGGAGCCTGGCTCCTGAGCCCTGCCTAGCCCTCGGTCTCCGCTGCACACTGGACTGCTTCCATCGGCCCCCTCCCTGCGTGACCAGATCTGCCCTAGGGGAGACTTCCCCCCCCACCTGGCCCACCCAGCTGCCCTTCACTTTGGGCAGACCCTAGTCCCCAGATTGGAGCTCCCCTTACAGATAAGTGGGGGACTGTCTGCACAGCTGGAACTCGGGATCTCAGAAAGCACTGGGGTGCAAGCACGTGACGAGTAGGCCTGTTTTGTGAATGGATTCCCTTTGTGTCCCCTCTTACCTCCCTGGTCGCCGCTGCAGCTGTGTTTTTGGAGCAGGCTGTGTCGTATCAGCAGTTTGTGGACAACCCTGCTATCATCGATGACCCCAATCTTGTGGTAAAGATTGGGAATAAGTAAGTACCTTTTGAAAGTCTTTGTTTTTGCAAATCTGTTAATCTGTTTGTTTCTTTTCTTTTCTTTCTTTTTTTTTTCTTTCTTTTTTTTCTTTTTTTTTTTTTTTTTTTTTTGAGAGTTTTTTTACTATAGAGCATGTACACTCACTGGAGAGACAGACAGAAAGCGACAAATCATCCCCCAGGGGGATGGCCATTATGCAATTGCCTCTCCTCCATTCTTCTCTTGGGATCTTGGGCACGCTCGTGCAATTGCCTGGCATGAGTTTTAAGCCACCGTGTCTGGGACTCGAACTGCAGTTGACTGCATGGGAGTCCAGTGATATAACCATGACGCCATCTGCTGGTCCTCTCTTTTTTTCTTCTATGAGAGAGAGAGAGAAAAAGAGAACTTCAAACAAGGGCTTTCACACTGTGCTCCACCCTTGCTTCAGCCAGCTCCAGATGATCACGGACACATGCATACCTGGCATGTTCAGGAAGGACTCGGACATGAATCTAGAACCTTCTCACATGGGTCAGCCTTGCAGAGTGTTATGTTACTCCGGTGCCACCATCTGGCCCCGAAAGTCATTTGATAGTAGCATGAAACCATTCCCGTTTCACTTTTGCCCAGTGTAGAGA